TGTTCAATACAATCCGGTCGTTGACTAAATGGAGAGAAATTCAGCTGCCTGTTACTCACAAACCGGTGAAAAAAAGATGTGCAAGATTTCGCTCGTGACCAAATCCCCAACGCAATAATCAGAAAGCAAATTGGAATGCATGATGTAATCACGGAAAGCATGAAGAAGAAATGCAATGAGGTGGATACACAGCTCGGATAACTGGATGGCAGCTATCTCTCAGTGGCATCCGCTGGATTGTAGAAAGTCACTCAATCGCTCTCCAATAGGAAAGGACGATTTTACATCTGACCTACAAGGATAACTATGGCGAAAGAAAGGTTGACTAAGAGGAGAAGGGGATATGGTGTAAAACGTACAGTCTTTCTGACTGCTAACGATTGATAAACACATCAAGAAATAGTGTTATAATTTCTGCTTTCGTCTCTCGTGGAGAGCAAGCTGGCAAATTTCGATGAAGAGGACAGTCGACAAATTTTCACTTCCCTCAACCCTAAGTCTCGTTGCTTCACGAAGAAATCTGAAGAACTAAGATTCATCGTTAGTCACACCTTATCAAAGCCATGCGCAATTTTATGCCAGAAGACTTGATTCAACGACGCTATTGGCGACCAAAGTACTGATCTTTGAGGACTGACAACTTTTTGCCTTGACCAGATTGCTACTCGTGATGATGGTCTTGTTACGAGGATCAGTCACGCCCTATGTACCATCCCTTAACTGATTTTCTCCCATATTGATCAGAGAATCGAGTGCCTTGTTATCACTCGCAGGCTGAAATTTCTAGTACGTTTTGTGGTAGCACTGTTGCGCAACGTGCACATAACTAGAAAATATCATTCATATTTTAAGACAAGATTGTAAGATTCAAGACTTTCACATCACGCTTCGTCTGCTCTTCAGCTGACATTTTTCAAATAACTTTAATCATTGCGACTGTGCATTTATGGACCATGTATATTTTAACCGATATCGTAAATATCAGCACTCATCTAAATAACAAACTGCGTTCCATTTTCATGAACACAGGCAATAATCATCTCCTACAATAACTTTACCATTGTCTGATTCAGAACCCTGCATAATTTTTATTAATTCACATATCCTTAAGTACCCAGGTAATGACTCACATTACTTTCTCCGTCGCCCCTATCAGATGTTCACCAGGAACAAGCCTCTGTAACGAATATGCGTTCAACCTTTGAAACAACCGGCTGGTCATGTTTCTGAGGACTCTAACTTTCATAAGAGAAGTTATTACATCGGCTTTGTCTACAGAGGCTTCTGTCTCTTCGAAACAAAAGAGAGCTTCTATCTAATAACACTTACGTTAACCATGCTACGCAGAATTTGGAAAAGGTAATTAGTCTCTAACCTTAATTTTGCATTTAATAGGATCTCGTGACCGAAACATTCAATACAATGGCTCTTGATAAATTAACTAAGAAAAAGCATACTTCGTTGGCTTAGCGACTACTGGGTCTCAAAGGATCAAAACTCAAGGCAACCGTTCTGGTGCACTGTAAGGAGCCGTATTATCTCCTCTTCTTTTGCCTTCTCGATCGGCCAACTAAGGCCAATCGCTCCATTACGCATTTTCAAATACGCAGACGATGCGACCATCATTACAATTAAAACTAACTTTACTTTGCATTAGCCAAAACAACTTGTTCAACTATGTCAGAGGTACATCTGATATCTGGCTTCTGTTTAATTCTGAAAAATGGCAAATGTGCCATTTAAACAAGAATAGAAATGATTTTCAGCTCATATACTTATGACGCGTTTCTGACAAGAATAATTACGCTGAAGCTGAATGCGTGAATTCTACCAAATATACTGGAGAGCGTTCTATCTCACGATTGGTCATGGTGTTAATGTGTAAAGCTGACTGCCGATAAAACATGAATGAGCCTATATTATTTTATTGATCTGAGCCAAACAGGGGCTCAAAATCCACAGTGTACATTTTCTCATATCGCGGATACTTCCTTATTTGACATGCATCCTGATCGTCTTTCCTGCCCCTCTCTAAACCAATTTTCGCGTTCTCTGCTGGGCCGCTAATGGCTGCTTCGATTTTGAAGTTCTTGCAAAAGAACTCTACGCTGCATCCAGAAACTGTATACCGTGGGCGCCGGTACTCTCTCCAACAACAACCACCCGTTTCATACGGCTCTGTCTTCTCGCATATTCGCACATCCCGGCAGAAGATCAAACATAGTGAACATCTACCGCTGGACGCAACTCAGGCGAAATTTAATCACTCCTGCCATCAATCACTTCATGAAGAACTCATCATCACTTGATGATAGTGGCTGTGAACAGTTACTTAATATGCCTATCGCGTTTTGTTATATTTTGTTGTTCAACCCATCTAAAAACTGTCTGCTAACAAGGCTTGTGTAATCAGAGTTGATAGTGCCCTTGACACCTTCAAGACACTTCAGTCAATACGGTCATTCAGTTGGCAATTGTGTGAGTGTGATGGGGATACCCGACTCCGTTACGCTGTCACGATTAACGGCGATTTGAGGCGCCCCTTCAGTTCATGAAGCTTATACTGCAGGCACTGGCTTGTGTGCCTTTGTCGTCAGCCAGGCAGAATCTACAGCCATGTGTCAGCATAGCATATGGCGGCCTGCTCTCTTCCCACAGAATCGTATTCATTCTATCTGCCTCAGAAGTAAGAACAAAGACTCAAACCTGAGACATCTCAGCACTGATTCTGACGTTCTATGGGTTGGGTATTCTTGGTAATTCAGACGATACTCGGAAAAAAGCATCAGCACCCGTCCGTAGTAATTCCCAAAGAAGTCTGCTGAATCCTTGTCATCATGCAGCCCACCATCAGAATCGAGAAGCATGATCGCAAGACTCGGACAATGACCGAGTGGTATCAAGAAAGGAAGATAAATGTCAACCTCTCGTTATGGTCCAAACCTCGTCAGTCCTATCATTACCACTCCAAAAGTGAATGAGATTTGTGATTCCTTCTTTTTCTGAGCGTGTTCAATTTAACAGAGGTACGTTTATAGTCAAGACCCTCTACATTTTTGGGTTTTAAATCTTCAGTAACTCGTCGCAGTTTCATATCGACAAAAAAGCGCAAACATTTTTTTGGTCTTCCCCTCCTTTCACTCCAAGCAGTATTTGGACTAATTTTCAATGCACTCCATGGGTTTTCCTTTCACTGAACAAAGGGAACCTGCTTTCGCTTTTAGATGATATTTGTAACCATGAAATTTAAATAATGTTGCAATTATTCACCGTTTTTCACACAGCAATACATGCATCCTACAGTAGTAGTGCTTCGAACAAAACCGAAGCCAACCTACTTTTAGCAGTCAGCAAACGAAGGATTCCCAACGCGGCTAATGACACCATCAACGACGAATGTTCTTGACGATGTCTAAAAAATTCTTCGAAAACGTTGAGTATTACCGGAACAGCATCGGCGTTTATTAACAAAAGCCGAGTTTTCTCTGAAAAAGTAAATTTAAATAAATAATTAAAATCTCAAACGAAACCTCACTTGGCTTTGATAAGTAATAAACAAGTTCCGTGCACTTGCGGATCGATTCAGATTTATCTTCCAAGCCCTGAACGATGCAGTTTAACAGATACGCCACCAAGTTCTCGTTTTTCGTGAAAGCCATCGCATTTCTGGCTAAAAGTCGCTCGTGTTTATAAGTTAAACCAACATTTATATCGAAATTGGGTTACATTCAGGGAGAATTAATTTTGAAATATTCAATATTTTAAACTTCAAACTTAGCACTTCAGAATTTAGAATGGCTACATACTCTTCTTGTACATCGTCAGATATTCCACATCGTGTCATATGGTGTCTGTTTCTAAACAGATGTCATAAAAACTGTTCAGTGACTACCTTCTACAACACAGAATCCATTAGCCCACTTTGTGTTCGCACGTCATGGAACGGAACAACAACGTGACTGCACAATGCCATCCTATTCCTGCTTCGAATTAAAACCAGTTTATCTCTACCACGATCGGCCATCTATCAGCTACATAAGATCAGTGGATTTACGATAACCATAATATAAATTTTAAGATGATTAATAGCATTACACTAGATCCATCTTTATGAATAGACTATTCTAGAATATGATTCAGATCACAATTCTGCCATACTTGTGCGATATGGTTAATGAAGAACAGTCTAGTGCGTCTGAAAAATTAACCAAATTTGAGAAAGTATAACAGTGGAGAATTAAACAATTAAGAGCCGTTACTGAAAGTCTATGCGTTTACACCTGCTTGAAACGTTCTTCAGCATGACGAAATGACTCAGGGCTGAACATTGCAGCTGCAATGATGACGAAATGAAACTATATATACCTTATATCTACTAGTTAGTACATTGCATGCTGACGATCGACTTAATGAAACCTGGTTTTGAACACAGGTAGCGCTCAGATAGCGTTCCATCTACTGCCAATCCAGATTAAAATGGGCAAAATGGCATTAAGATGGGATCAAAATGAACTTGATTATTAACAGCACCTATAGCAATATATGCATCGATTTATGTAGAACTAACCAATTTCCCATCCAGAGAAGTGTACTATTCCGTGTTGTAGTAAGAAGTTCTGGCGGAACGAACATACATGAGAAAACGTCTCTCGCTTTTCCTGTCCTAATATCCAGCTTCGTAGGGGAATATGAAACAAACTGACGCATAACAAACACCGCGCCCTGTTCCTTGTTTTACCGGATAGTACAACCATTCAATATTTGCATAACCTTATCTTCAATGTGTTCATCGTTGCGGAAACAGACTGACTGACTGACCGAACGACTGAACGTCCTCTTTACTGACTGGTTAACTGACTAACTGACCGTTGACCTATCGACTGTTCCTTAGGTAACTGATGTACCAACCTTACAGCAGAGCTGATAACCTATCTACATGACTAACAGCTTGAGTTACTGGCTGGCACACTTAAAAATGGAACGATTTCATTAGAAACCGGCGAATGAACTGGCAACTTGGTTGGATGACTAACGGAATGAGCAACTATACATCTATATGTCAAATTAACCAAGAAAGCAGCTGACTGACTGATTTAGATACTGAGAGGATGTCTCAGAGACTGATTAACTGAAAGACAATCAAATAATTTGACTAACTACCAGCATTTCTCACTCACTATTGTTTTGACTAATTGACAGAACAGTCGACTGGCTGAAGGAAAAATCTTTTAATTTATTGAATAATTACACACCGGATCGACTAAACAGTATCTACATGCAGACTACTATGCCACACCATAGTGTACCAGTTCTTCCAGAAACAAAACGGCGACACTTTTATAAACGAAAAACAGATACTTTAGAACGTTTTCGTTAGCAACGTATAAACATTCAACTTCTGATTAGCAGGCAAGGCTTACCAGAATGACACAATGCAATAAGCAGATCAATCAGGCAGGATACGGGAGGGGGTCCGGCTTTGCAGAGAGCGCTCGCCAACTTCGGTAGAAGCCCTACCAGTCGCATTTTGACGCAGAACTTTTTGTCTTAACATACAAACTTTACAAAATGAGGCAAACGGCAGTTCAGTTGTAGAAACTTACCAATTCCGCCGATCAACAGACAAGCGTAGATCAGAGACTCGATTACTTCGTGATTCAGACTTTCAGCAGCGATAAATTTCCGCAACGAATTCGCCATGAAAGTTATTCCATCGAGATCAGCGATTCTCTTCATTCTTGTTTTACGGCCTAAAATGAGATCAAATAAACGCAGAAAGAAAAACGAACATCTGCTTTAACACAAAAGAGTAAAAATAAGTTACAGATTCCGATAACGAGATTCGGAAAAAATGCCCAATGAGTCTGAACGTTTTCAAGCATATGTTAGATTTATGGCAAGAGTATCTTGAAATCATTTCAACCCTGCCGTTATCGGTCCCCAATCTAGGTTTGAAAAATAGGAAGGCTCGAGGATGTGATGAAGTTTCGTGTAAAACACCGACCTATTTTTCGCAGTAATGATGCAATCGAATCCTACCCGCTTCGGTCGTCATCCGAGTTATCAAAAGCCGCGCAGACTGTTGGGTAACAGGCAGATAGCGAAAAGATAGTGATTAAAAACAACTTCAAGTCTTTCGACAACTGGAGAGAAGAATGCAGGACGGCAACGGTTACGAAAATCGACAAAAAGACCACAAAAATACCAAACAACAATGCTACCGCTACCACCCTGAAAAGATAAGACATAACGCAATCCATTATGGCACGTCAGATAAACAGACGGAATAGCAAAAATAGCTGCTTACTTAGCATGCCTCGACAGAGTCAAGATTCAGACAGTCAGTACTGGTATACAGGCCTCTGCTTCTCTAGATGGAGAAGTCACAACTGCGATGTTCTGGGGATATTTAGTGAACGGAAGGTAAACAGCTGCGACTTACTCGACTGATTGGCCGAAAATCCGGACGAAAGCCAAAAAACTTATCTTGATAGGCACTTCTCCAGTCCCACGTTATGTCCTACCGAAATTCAGATTTTGACACGCAATCAGGAACACTGGAAACGCCGCCTGATACTGTTGCTTCCACGACTAATATATCCTTAAGGATATAAGGACCTCGAAACCGACAGACTGGCTCTCTGACATACTTACCAACCGACTGACCGGGTAATGTCCTTCATGATGAGGAGAAAATATTAAATATTCTTACAAAACTTATCTACATAATGATCAATACGCTAATTTAATTAGACCCGTGATTAGGGCATCAGGACGGTCTTGAATGAATAAATTTACACTACAAATCCCAGAATATTTGAAAAAATTCCAAAATTTCTGCACAAATAAGCTATGAGATGAATATTTCAAAGAGGGAATAGTAAGCAAATTGTCCACCTTCCCACGAAACATTTGTTCTAGCATGTAATGTAATCTTCATTTTATTTATTCAAGTGTTTCAGTTTTTGGCAAAGAAATAGATACCATGGCTATTCAGAAGCAATAGTCACGTGGATCAGTCAATATTCGGCCGTAACACTGTGCTGTCATAGTGTATGAAGTTTTGTCCCCCGCTGGTAAGGTTGAAAGTAGCCTCAGAAGCAATAATATTATGGTAAAATTATGATAACAAAATACACAAAACTTACAGTGGTAGAAAAGTTAGACAATGGGCATATAGAACTGCAGTGAAAATGAAAAAGGGACGGTTCGGAGGGGCACTAAAAAAAAGATGGGCTGCAAGCCACGAAAGAAAAATGGGCGTAAAACCAAGCAAAGTAGTAAAGTAAAGAATAAACCAATTCACATTAAGGATTTATACGCCGTTTGGATATCAACTGACGAGGCATAGTAACTGCATATCACTGCCCTGTTAAAGGAACAATGCAGGGACTGTTTAATATGAAACTTACATCTGTTTTGCCCCCTGACAAGGAAGATAGCTTCTTTACCATTTACGTAATTCAGGCATTCTAAGGAATGCACGACAATCCTACTGGTATTCCTAATGGCCTCCAGATATTTTTTAATCGCATCGTATGGGTTTTATAACTCGGAAACCGCATTTATAAAAATAGCGTTTAAGGGGAGGAGATACCAGGACTCATAAGGACAGGGATAACAGAAGATAGCTCTTGCGGCTTTTCCAGCTGGCTATATTTAAGATTTCCCTTAGTTCGATTTCAATATTATAAAAACAACGTTAATTTAATTTAGTAATGTCTTTTACTGTACAGATTGCAATAAGGGCAACTGCGATTATGATAGGAAAAACGCTAGAAACATCATAATCTTGCTTGTGTCTCTTTCAGTGATAGAAATGGCTACTGTGCTTGATATATGGCATTTATCGTCATGTCTTATCTCATAATTACAGAACAGCACTGAAAAGTAGATACCTATATGTGTTATAGCAATAAACTTGCTGTGCTAAAAAGTCTAACAACATAAAGCCTAATGCATTTAGACCTCGTTGTCCATGATTTATAAAGCATCTTCATCTTCTTCATCTTCATCTTCCATCGCCGCTTCTCCTTTCGGGTCGCGGAGGCAGACGCGTC